ACTGATCATTTTGGCCTGATCTCTCTAGTCTGATAAAAGAATGCTTCAGATAAATTCTGTTTTATTTATACAGCACCAAATCACAACAACAGTCTCCTCAGGGCGCTTTATAAGTTAAAGACCTACAGTAATGTACAATGTATAATGTACAGTCATATGACCCCTTATGAGCAAGTGGGAAAGAAAAACTCCTTTTTAACAGGAAGAAACCTCCAGGCTCAGGGAGGGGCGGGGCCATCTGCTGCCACTCAACTCAGTGACACTCCCCTTTGTATTATAAGCATATTGCACTGATGATGCCTCAAATTTGACGTTTTGGTTTATTTGGAGCCAGAAGTCAGCATATTTAGACATTAGGCTTGAGTTCTATGTTATCACCTATTTTCACTCGCTATAACTGAAGCACCAGAAAAGCATCTCTCAGCTCTTGATTCAGTTTCTGGAAAACTTCAAGGATAACAGTTGATAACAAGGTGATTCCCAGAGAGCTATTAGCAAAAAACCTGCCAGATATCAGCATGGTGTGTCCTTTGAAGAAGCTGTACAAGTGGAGGATAAACGAATGTCATGGTTTGAGCTGCACTTCTGTGCTCATAATTCCATCAATTTTAGCAACAACACCAAAGTACTGTCAGATTTTGATCTACCATGTAATACCATCTGGAAATAATTTGATTAGCAACAGTTTAAAATACACACAGTGTCCCTCTGTGTGTTCTATCAGTCATGGATTGGCCTCACAAAAATCCAGACATCAGCGTTAATGAAGCATTGTGGGAACAAAAGGTAGACAACCTTCAGAGAAGAGCTTTATAATCTCCTTCAAGAGTAGTAAAGTATTCCAAAAACTATTTGAAGGAATTACAAGAAGAGCATTGAAGCTGTGTTAAAGAATAAAAGGGCAAACCTACTATTGATTTTTCAAGTTTGTACAATTCTGAAAAGCCAGTCAAATATTGTATTTTTATTTGTGTTTGCACATTTCAATAAATCTCTGGATTTATTCCTGGGCCCTACTCAGGACATGGAGAGATTATATTTGTCAGCTGGCTTGCAAATGACCCCTCCACCCCCATTATATCTGCAGGAAGTGGCCAGGTTAGGGAAGTGTGGGCTTCTCTGCTGGGTGGCTGGGTGGATAGATGGTGCTGCATCTATCTCTCATTTTCTAGTTAAAAAAACGACTTTTGTGCAGTTTTGCATATCATGTCTTATCACACATTATTGCAACATGCTCTCAACATGGAGTTTTAATATTGTATAAATACAATGAACTGAAAATACATGAGAACTCTAACATTTACAACATCATGTTAAGAAAACTTTGAAAACGATACCACATAATACTAAAGAATTCTCTATATTGTTTATCTATCAGCCAAAGCTGGACTGTGGCCAGAAATCTCCAGTCCAAATATCACTTTTCCACTCAGGCATGAACAACAACTAG